GAGAAAAACTGGATAAATTGTGTATACTGCACTGAAACAGATGAGGGAGTGAATAATTTAAAAGCGATGTATGATAGGGTCTTATGGTTATTACAAGAATCCACAATTAAGGTTGCATAGTGGAATGTACTTGGGGCGGTGGGAGGGGTCCAGGGGGATTGTGTACCAGGGAAGGAATGTTTCTTTTACTTTTGAAAGAGAGGAGCAAACGGGGGTGTGGGGCGAGGGGAGAAGTGCAGCAATGAATGAATGGAAATCCAAAATCTCAGTAAATGCTCGTTAAAATCATTAAAATAAAAATAAAAAAATACAGTAAGTTCTTAAAAAAAATGGTGTCCCTGGAGGATATTATGCTGAGTGAAATATATCAGTCACAAAAGGACAAATACTGCATAATGCCACTGTTGTAAAGCGGGACAGACATTGAGGTTGGGGGTAAACCATGAAAAGGGTGGGATAAATAATGTATAGTGCATTGAAACAGATGAGACAGAGAGAACTGTTTAAAGGGATATATGAGTAGATATTATTGGCACAACAAGAGTCTAGAATGAAAGAGGCACAGTGGAGTGAATTTGAGAGTGAGGGAATTGTATAACAATGAAAGAATTTTTTTATTTTTTTTTTACTTTTCAAAGAGACAAGCAAAATGGAGGGGAGGGGTGGACAGGGAGAAGAGTGTGCAACATGAATGAATGGAAATCCAAAGTCTCTGTAAACTTTCATTAAAATTAATTAAAAAGAAGAAAAGTAAAAGAAAAAACTCATTATTTTTACAATCCCTCCTCCCAAGTCCACTCCACTGTACAGCCTTCATTCTGGACTCCTGTCATAACAGTAATACCCAATCATATATCTCTTTTAAACAGTCCTCTCCCTCATTTGCCTTTTTTATTGGCATTGCCTCTAGTATAGCTTTTAGTTCTTCAGTACCATTGGATCTTGATCGTACTTTGCCTCCTAAAATAGTTATCAACCATTTCTACTTGATATCATTACGTATTTCTTTCTTCTTCCTTTGCTGCTTTCTGCATCATCCAATGTTTTTTGCCTATAGAATCCTTCACTATTAGAACTGGAGAATTAGTATTTTTTTCTTCTTTAGTTCTTTCAGCTGGAGAAGTGCTAAATGTTGTCTTCTCTTTTGGTTTACTAACTCCTGTATTTTGCGTGTTTCACTGTCATACTTTGTCTTTTCCAAATGCCATTTGAAATTCTCTGTGCCTCACTTTTCATCATATCTTCCATTAACTTTAGCTTCTTTACATTCTAGAGCAAGTTTCAGAGTCTCTTGATAATAATTTTGCCTTTAAAACCTACATTTTTAATGACTTTTTGTTTCCTTCATGTGTATTGTCCTTGATACCATCCTACAACTAATTGGATCTTTAGTCTCTAGTGTTTAGATCATTTATTCGAAGCTATCTCATTGTGTTAATGAGGTGGTTTCTGAGTTCAGGTAAGATATACTTAAGCATTTTTGATTCTTTGTGGACTGATTTAATTTTCTTGAACTTGACTGCGAGTAATGGACAGTCTATTCCAAAGTCAGCCCTGGCCTCATTCTGACTGATGATATTGGGCTTCTTTATCATCTCTTTCCACCTATTTGATTCCATCTGGCAAGGTTCACATGATAGTTGTTTTTTATGTTTTGTAAAAAAGGTAATTGTCATGAATACATTTTTTTGTTGTACAAGATAACGGTCTTGCCTCGTTCCCTGTTGCTAATGCCGTACTACCTAACCACCAAACTGTCCTCATTGTTTCCAACTTTTACAATCCATTCAACAATTTCCAGTATATTGTGTGTGTGTGTGTGTGTGTGTGTGTGTGTGTGTGTACCATCAAATTGATCTGACTGGTACAAGAGGAGAGTGCCCCTCCTTCTCCATCAGAGCGTCTGGTGGATTCGAACCACGTACCTCTGGGATTACAGTGTAGCTTCTTGCCACTTGGTCACCAGAGCACCCTTCTAGTACATCTTGATTGCATGTTCGATCAATTTCAGACTACAGAGTTTCTGTACATCTTTGATTTCTTCATCTCTGGCCTTCGTGGTTGGTGTGTAATTGAATGCTAGTTGTATAACAAGCTTTCCTTGTATGCATATGGATCTTATTCTATCACCGGCAGTACTTCAGGATAGATCTTGAAATGTTCGTTTTAACAGTGGACATATTACCATTCCTCTGCAACTTGTCATTCTCAGCATAGTGGACAATATGATGTCCGGTTCAGATTGGACAGAACCAGTCCATGTCCACTCACTGATACCTAGGATATTGATCTTTTGTGTTCTATTTCATGTCTACAAACTTCCAATTTTTCTAAAGACACTCTGTTGTTAAGTACCATTGAATTGAGTATGACACATAACAACCCTATGAATGACAGATCTTAACCCTGCCCTATCCTATGCCATCCTCATCATCTCTGACATACGCAAGCTCATTGCTGATGTCACTGTGTCAGTCTGTCTGGCTGAGGGTCATCTTCTTTTTTGCTAACCTTTGTAAGTATGAAGGCCTTTTCCAAGAAACAACCAACCTTTCCCAGCAGTATGCACAAAGTATGTGAGACAACGTTCTCCATCCTTGCTTCTGAGGAGCACTCTGGCTGGCTACGCTTTATCTAAGACATATCTGTGTCATTTTGGTAGTCTGTGGGGTATTCAGCACTTTTCTCCAACACCACAACTCAAAGCCATTGATTCTTTGGTCATCCTTGTCCATTGTCCCATTTTCAGATTCATAGCAAGTTATTGAAAAGACCATGGTCTGAATCAAGTGCACCTTAGTCTTTACACTAATTTGCCCAAATTTATAATCATAAATTGAAAATTGTATGTTGGAATTTTAGTGAAAATTTGAGCCCAACCTAAATTTATAGTAAATACAGTACCAGTTTTACTAAATATTATATATTTGTATATGCATGTTATATACATCTTTGTGCTTATGTATATGTAATGGAATATAGTGAATGTGTTTAAAATGGTATTTTATGTAACATGGAATGACCTCATAATATGAAATATTTAAGAAATCAATAAAAAGGTAAACTATAGATAAACACACATAATATGAAAATGTATACTTAGAGAAATTGTCAATTATTTAAACATTTTATAGAAAATTAGAAGTGTATTTCTTTATGTATATTTATTTAGGAAGGGACAATCGGATTTTTCTAATAGATTTGAACACTTCTTTCCTAGTGGGTAACATCAAAGACTGATGTTGAGGGGAGCTCTGGTGGCCTAGTGGCAAGGAGCTGCAACTACAATCCCAGAGGTGCACAGTTTGAATCCACCAGATGCTCTGCCGGGGAAGGAGGGACAATCTCCTCCAGTACCAGTCAGATCTGATTTGACGGTACACTCACACAAAAATAATAAAATAAAATTTTTTAAAAAGACAGAAAAGTAAAGACTGATGTTGAAATTCACCTGTCTTTTTTTTCTTTCTTTCTTTTCGTTATTGTACACTGTAGATATTATGTGCTGAATTGCCTGTGACTCATAGTGACCCTATATACAACAGCCCTAAACCCTGCTCTATCTTGTGCCATTCTCACTGTCTCTGACATACCTACCTTTATTACCCCAGTCACTGAATCAATCCACCTCATAAGAGGGTCTTCCTCTCCTGCACTGTCCCACCACCCTCCCAAGCATGACGTCCTTCTCTAAGGACTGTTCCCTCCTTGCAACATGTCTGAAGTATGTCAGATGAAGCTTCAGAATCTTGTCTCCAAGGAGCAGTCTAGTTTAACCCTCTCCAGGATGAACCTGTTCGTTTCTTAGCTGTCCATGATTTAATACTCTTCTCCAACACTGCAGCTCAAAGGTGTCAATTCTCCTTCTATCCTCCCTAGTCATTGTCCAGCTCTCTGATGCATAGCAAGTGATTGCAAAGACCATGGCCTCTATCAGAAGCACATTAGCCTCCAGAGTGACAGCATTGTTCTTCCGTACTTTGGAGAGGTCCCTACCAACAGACTTTCCCATTACAAAATGTGGGTGCCTAGGGTGTTGACTGTGTACCCAAGCAAATTAAAGCTGTTAACAATATAGCTTTTTATATTTGTTACTAGTATATTATAGCTCTAAAACCTATTTTTCTAATTGTATATATATTTGAAACTGAGAATCATAAAGACCAAAGTTGCTTTCTTAATATTGATGATTTGACACCAGGACCCTCAGGTGGCTTCTATATTGTTTGTTAAAGTTGATCCTAGTGTAGTCTGTCCTGGAAATAGATATTAATTTTTTTTTTAGTTCTCACATGTGATGCATATTCCCACCACCTTGTGAAACCAATTATTTTTTCTTCTATCTAGGTGTTGAGTTTGGTGCCCGAATGGTAACTATTGATGGAAAACAGATCAAACTTCAGATATGGGACACGGTAAGAATAGCAACATACATTATTGCAATAAAGTTGTTTTGTAAATGTACATTGTATGCTTGTTTTAATACTGGTATTTGTTGTATCATGCTTAGATATTGACATAACCATAATATCAGAGCATGTTGCCTTTTCTTATACAGTATTTTGAGCAGATAGACCATAAGTGTTAGATATTAGTTATTATGTCTTAAGTGCTTTAAATAGAAATGCTCTAGAAACTATTTCTTTCTTGTGTATAAAAGCAATTGACCACTTAACCTTTTAAAATTTTTTGTTTTGGTTTGTTTTTTATTTTATTTACTATTTCATTTGAGTGAAGGCTTACCAATCATATTGGGCTTTCCTGTAAACATTCATAGGTATTTTTTTTTCTAAAAACAAAACCAAAACTATAATTAAATGAGTTAATACACAGAAAGTACTTATAACAGGTCTTGGATCAATAGGTAGGGCTTAAGGAATGTATTAGCTTTAGAATGCTTATATATCTAGTTTATTACACTTTTTTTTGTTTGTTTGTTTTTTTAATTTAGGTTGTTTATTTTTCATTTCAATGAACATCTACAGAGATATTGGGATTCCATTCATTCATTGTTGCACCCTTCTCCCCGCACAAACCCCTCCCCCCTCCCCCCTCATTTGCTCCTCTCCTTGAAAAGCAAAAGAA